TTCTCCCCTTGGCTCGTTTTTCGATGTTGAATCTACTCATGGCCAAATCGGAGTCAAACCATCGGCCAATAGGCCGAAAAACATCGCCGAAGTCTAGCGCCGCCGCCGCGGCTTCTCTCAGTTTTTTCCTCCGATGAGGCCCTTTTTGGTTCCTGTTCGATGTAATTTTTACACCACTGTGATCACCATCCTTTTCTCTATAGGTTGACCGGAGCAAAACATCAAACCGCGACTCGTGCCGGAGAAGCTGCCGTACCTGAGAGCTCCGTCGCTGGTAAGTCTCGATTTTTCGTGATTTTTTAGCCCACCGAAGGCCCTAGGGTTATTTTATTGCAGGAACCAATGCAAGTTTGGCCAAATTCGGTACGACCAACCCGAGGCGGATCGCCGCCGCGGGCGGCGGTGCCATCGCTGGAGCACGGCGGAGCCGCTGTGCCGAAATTCTGATATTGGCCAAAAAGGGGCCCTGGGTCTGATTTGGGATTTTTTAGGACACGTGCAGGTACCGGTAGTGCATTTTAGTTTTTCGAAAAAAATTCAAAAAATTTAGGGACAGCCCGTAGGCGCATTGTAGAGCCGATTTCAGACCCCGAAACAAGTAAAGATTTCTCACCCTATTTTTCTATCACGGTATTAAAGTTCAATAAATGATAAAACAGTATTTTCGTGAATTAATGGATGTGTATACTTGCTTAAGGTTGCTAATAGAGTCCAAATCTGGTGTATTTATCGGTCAATTATTGTTTGATCTATTTTATAGTTTTAAATGCAGTATGGTATCTGATGTGTTTATTTTATGATTTTGTATGCATGAATCATGGTTTTATTTATTATGGTTTGAATTATAGTGAACCCGATGTTGTGTTGTTTTATTTGGTGTTCATTATTGGTTTTCGTGTTTGTGTATAATTTGGATAATTGAGACCAAGAAAAATGGGAAAAATGTTATGTGAATAGATAAATGGATAATGTGGAGAGCCTGACTAGATATCCTAGGAGATGGTGGACGGACCGGATCCGTAGGAAACCCTACCGGGAACGTGGTCTCTCATATCGGATGGGGTATGGAGACCTTTATGGTTTTGGCGCCTATACTGGATGGGGTATTGGGGATGGCCCGTTTCACCCTCATACTGGATGGGGTATTGAGGTTTATAGTTTTGGTGCCCATACCGGACGGGGTATGGGGACAGCCCTAGAATCAGGTTATTAATGTTAATGGTTCACGTGTAACGGGGACCCCCTATGGATACTAGTAGGCTGGTAAGAGAGGAGAATTGTTATCTGATTATTGAAGTGCAGAAGTATAACATGTGTTATGTTACAAAGTGTATATTATTTTATGATGGTTATAATGTTATTGTTTTTATATGTTATTTTCATGAATCTCACGTAGATAAGTAGACAGTAAAAGTTTTTATTATTAATAAATGACTTTGTTATAAATTATGCTCCATTGGTTGTTTTTATTTTCTACCAATCTTTACTTCTGTGGTAGTGAGATAGTGTGATGTCTTTACTGGGTTAGTGTAACTCATTCCTTACTTAACCATTTCAGATTAGGATGACATAGTTCCCGAGTCCGTTCCGCTGGAAGACGGCGAGTTAGACTCCTAAAGATTTTATAGTTCTATTTATAGTTTTTATTTCGATTATTTCTTTTAATTAGCTTATTATTTCATACATTGAATACGTTTATGGTTATTGTGTAAGGGATGTTAATCAGAATTTTTATTACGTTTCTGCCTTCAAAAATTTTAATATATACATCTTCATTTAAATTTCCGAGATCGTTACATCAAACCTCATTAAAAGTTTTGAAAGAATAAATATTTTACATGTGTTTATGGATTCGTTATGTGAGCTTTAAGTTACTCTTACACACTCACCGTGTGATTTTTAAGTTAATTTACTTTGTTTTTTTTTTTTAATTACATCTTTGTTAATATGTGATTTATGTTTACTTTTAAAATTTTATGGTAATAGGTGATTTGTTGTGATAGATAAAAAAAAATAATTATAAAATATGTATTTAATAATAATTCTTTATCTGCTGACATCATTCTATCATAATTTAATTTTTATATTTTCAATTTATTATATTTTTAAATTACTCTTTAATTTTTGTTATTTTTTTTTATTACTCGTTATTTTTATAAATTTTTCTTTAAAGAATTTTAGCTTGTGAAATAAAGATTATGTAAATTATGTATCTTTTACTTAATTTAATTAATTGTTTAAATTAGTGAGACATACAAGTGGATGGACTTATTATATTACTAAATAAATATGTTATTTATATTACCAACAAGGATTTTATATCACTCCAAAGAATATTTTTGTTAAATTTATTATTATAATAATTGATACAAAATATTATTATTATTATTACTATTTTTATTGCAAAGACAATTCTGAAGTCATACACAGTTATTAAAGTAACACAATTATTATATCATCTAATTTAAAAATAAAGCAAATCAAAATGAATAAAACTAAAATTTGTCCTAGTTTTACAATTTCCAAAATATTTTCACAATATTCGTTTCCAAAATAGTGTTAAGAAAGAATGAGATGTGTATGACTTGGACTTTTACGAGTTAAATTTAGTTTTAAATGTTTTATCTCATAATTTCACAGGAAAAAGAAAAAGAAAAAAAAAAGGTAAACTAAAAATATATTTAAAAAAAATTAAAATTAATAAAAATAAAAAAATTTAATTTTTTTTATTTAAATTGGACCGACCTAAAAATAATGATTGGATCAAAAATTAAAATAATTTAATATTTAATATAAGCAAGCATTCTTAATCAAT